GGCGGGTCCGGGCTGGGGATTCGAACCCGCCACCTTAGGTGTACGTGGCTGGCGCCTTAGCCGGTTGAGCTATAGGCGCCGAGCCTATTCATTAGATGTTTGACCTCAAAAGTTAACTTCTAATTGTGTTGTTTTCTACTTTTTACATCTCTTAGCCTTCTTGGTTTACCTGTTAAGAGATCTCAACTCAACTTTTATCCCATTCTATTTGTTGAATTTTTAATTTTTGCTATGATATATATATATTTTTACAGTTTGTGGCTGGGGCTGGGTTTCAAGCCATTAACATTTATTGAGATAATTGATAAGTGTGGTAGTGTTCTATTCATCTTATTTTGTGAAAGTCCATTGCTTAGTTTTATCTTTTAATCAGTGGGGAAGTTAGGTTCTGTCCTTTATTTCTGAGTTCTTACTTTGCTGTTGATCCGTTGTGATAGTCAGTGTGTAGAACAGGTTGAAATACTTCTTGTAGAGCTGGTCTTGTTGTGGCGAATTTCCTCAGTGTTTGTATATTAGTAAATGATTTGATTTCTCTGTCAATTTTAAAGCTTAGCTTAGCAGGATATAGAATTCTGGGCAGGAAATTGTTCTGTTTAAGTAGATTAAATGTAGATGACCATTGTTTTCTTGCTTGGAAAGTATCATTAGAGAAGTCTACAGTCACCCAGATGTATTTGCCCCTGTAGGTCAACTGGTGCTTACTCCTGGAAGCTTGCAGAATCCTTTCTTTTGTCTTGACTTTGGACAGGTTCATCACAATGTGTCTTAGAGAAGCTTGGTTAGAGTTGAGGTGACCTGGGGTCTGATATCCAGGGTGTCAGAGGAGTGTCAGAATCTTTGGTGATATTTGGGAAATTTTCATTTATAATATTCTCTAGTATGGCTTCCATTCCCCTGGGGCATTCTTCTTCCCCTTCCCAGATACCTATAACTCGTATGTTTGAAAACTTGTCTCCCCAGACTGACCATGCCCAGTTGCAAGGAAGCTGTTACTCGGCTGCCATCTTGCTTCTCCCTGGAGGCTATCCCTTATGTTACTACCACAGCATCTTAATAACTGTGGTTGTATAATTAATCTTGGTATCCAATAAAACACAGTCTTTCCACTTTCTTTTTCTTTTGTCAAATGGTCAGTATTACTGACATGTGTCTACATATTTTAGAAGCAACTTGTCAAATTTCACAAAGATTCTTGGATTTTTTTTTTTTTTTTTTGCAGTTTTTGGCCGGGGCTGAGTTTGAACCCACCACCTCCGGTATATGGGGCCGGCGCCCTACTCTTTTGAGCGACAGGCACCGCCCAGATTCTTGGATTGTGACTGAGATGGAATCCAATTTGCAGATCAATTTGAAGATAATTGGCAATATAACAATAATAGGTCTTCTGACCCATGAATTCACTATCTTTTTTTCAGACTTCCTAACTTTTTTCCAGTAGCAATTTAGGGTTTTCTGCTAGTTTGTTCTAAATTCTTTTGTAAAGTCACTAATCCCATTCATGAGGACTCTGCCCATGAATACACCTCCTAATGGCACTATCTCTTAATACAATTGTCTTGAGGACTAAATTTAAATATAAATTTTGGAGAAAGCATAAACATTCAAACCATAGCATACCATTTATTTATTTTTCTTGTCTAATCCTACTTGTTTGAACCTCTAATATATGTTAAATAGAAGTGAGGATAAGCAGCATTATTATGCTTCTTACAGTCTCATTGGAAAATCTTTTGACATTTTGCTATTCAATATGATATAGGGTTTTTTTGTAGTCATCTTTTTGTTTAAGTAGTTCTTTTTAAGTACAAGTATTCTCAAAGTGGTTGGTTTTGGGTATTTTGTTTATTTGTCTGTTTTTGCTTCTTTCATCCAGAAAGGATTTTTTTTGAGACAGAGTCTCACTATATTGTCCTCTAGAGTGCTCTCACATCACAGCTCACAGCAATCTCAAACTCTTAAGCTCAAGTGATTCTCTTGCAACAGCCTGCCAAATAGCTGTGACTACAGGCACCCGTTCTTTTTGAGACAGAGGTCTCACTCTTGTTTAGGCTGAAGTGCAGTAGCTATTCAGAGGTACAATGATAGCATAGTACTGCCTTGAATTCTTGGCCTCAAATTATCCTCCCCCCTCATTTTCTTGAGTAATTGCAATTGTAGGTGTGCCATTGTGCA